CCCCCCCCCCCCCCCCCCCCCACCGTGCAGGAACTGTCTGAATGCACAGGCAATGTGCTCTGTGCGCTGTGACGTTGTTCCTTACAACTCTGGATGATAGACAATCAATTATCCTGAAAAGGAATTGATTGGAAACATATACATGATGTCACTGTTTCCAAATCGGGGTTTGCTCCTACCTTTAGTCTAACAGACCCCCACCCCTTCCTTGGAAAACGCTCTGCTCTCACCACACCTCCAAAATAGGAACGCACAGGCAAATTGAAAAGACGGAATAAAGCTGCTTTCAATGGCCCAATTCAATATTAATGCAGATTGGGAAACAGAGGGGAGATAAGTTGCACTGCAGTGCACCAAGGCTCTTTTTGAGATTAAACGTTTTAATGGTAAAGGTTTATTGGAGAGACAGAGCTTTGCCGCAGCACAGGGAGACGTATAAGAGCATGAACTGACATACACTTGGGAAATATTCCCACCAAACTTCAAGTGACATTTTTTGGATTCCTCTGTCTTGGTGCACAAACGATAACCCAGTTGTGCAAGTAACCTTCCTCCCTACCCTCCAGATAGTTCTGTTGTGTGATGAGCAGCAGTCCCGCAGACAGACAGACTGATGAGGAACAAGGCAGGCGGACATGAATTTTTAAGACTGAATGTAAGGACAACAGAGACAGTCAGCCTACCAGCCAGTTAAACTAAAACGCTGTCATCTTGCAGCCTCAGCAGACAATATATTTACCAAAAGGGCTTCATATGACTTGAACATTCACAGGTAGACAGTATAAACAGACAGACAGACAACAGAGCTGGACACCCTCTGCGTCAGGTATGTATTTCTTCTCAGGTGACACATGGACATGGCATGAGCCAAATATGTTGTATGTCCTCTGATTATCGTTGCATTTTGCCTTGCCATATATTTGCCTATATAAACAGCCACTGGAGAACTTATGAATTCTGCCTGCTTAAAAGACTCTTGTTTTTCCCTTTTATCCCCCCCCCCCCCCCCCCCCCCACCACGTAAGATGCACCCTTGAAACCTCCACAGGTGTCCCATAAGGGCTGCAGGCTAGGTCAGTAGCTCAGCCTCCATTCGTGTGTGCTGTGTTTCCTCTTCGTCTCCACCCCATCTCGCGCCCATGTCGACAACCTCCTCGGCCAGGGAGGGGGATGGGGAGGGCTGGGTGGGCTGGGAAACAAGAGGCAATGAAAGGGCTGGGTGGGGTCCTTAACACCTGACCAACAGCCGACGACCCTCTCCCTTGCTGATCCTCCTTTTCTTTCATTTCCACGTCTCTGTGGCCTTTTCCTAGATTTTGATAAGCTTAATTTCTTACATGTGTCCTCTCGTAGCTAAAGCTCACCTGCAACTAGTTGTCTATTGCTCTTTTTTGCCTCTTTTCATTTCCTTTTAGTTTCATCCTTGTCGTCAGTAAGTGTTGGATCAGTCTATCCTCGTCCTGTGTCTGTAAAGATGTGTTGATCAACTGTGCAAGCAAAGCACAGCCTGTGACTCTGGTGTATATTGGTGTGGACTGATATGACGTGTCTCTCCTTGTCGCGCACTGCATCAGAATAGGTGATCATTCACCATTTCATGGTCATGATGCCATTTGTCAGTGTACCTGAATGTTTTTGTCCTGTATTGGTATGAAGTAAATCGTCATTCTAACGGTCCACGCACTTACAGAATGATCTCAAGTTTGTTGTCGTCCAAAGTCATTTGTCATGCACAAACACAAGCTGCAGAAATTCGCTCTGTACACGCACCCACAAACACACAACATGTACAGCTCTCTGCTTAATGACTGGAACCGATTTGCCATCAGCAATTGCCTGGGAGCTGTGCCGATGTAATTTATGGAAGTGTAGTTATCACATGTGATTTACTGGTGTGTACACTCTCATGTGCTTTCACACACACACACACACATAGCCACACGTAGAGTGCACTCTCATTCTCCTCAATCTGCCCATGATGGATGATGAAGGGCCTGTCCGAGGAATTGATGGGCCTAACCCAGGGGTAGGTGAGTTGGGAATTGATGGTCAGGATGATGTACAGTTGAGCAGACGTGATCTTGCTTTCTCCACGGGTCACCACTTGCAGGCAACTCTTTCCGCTTGCTCCCTCCTCGATTCACTTGTTCCTCCTTTTACTTTTTATTGTATAAATAAATCCCACACACTTGTAATTATTGGAGCCATCAGCTTTCAAGCAAATCCCATCTGTTATGGCTGTTGAATTAAGATTCTGGCTGAACCCAATCTTTCTCTCACAAGATAGCGAGTCTCAAAATGTTTTTTTTCGCAACATCGTTGGGAATGCTTTGTGACTGGCTGTGCTTGGAATGAATTGTATGTCCTCTAACTCGTGACCTTGGAGGACAGTCTGGCTCCAAAATATCGCTTCCCATCACAGTGCTCATTTATCAGAGCAAACACACACACAAAGCAACGACTTCCAGTTTATTTAGAGATTTAAATTTAATTAAGCGGCAATAAATTGTGACAAAATGCTACATTTGCACCTTTTGCCAAACAGTCAATTAGAATAACAAAACATGCAGTGACACTCAAGAAATATGCATTCCAATTTTTTTTTTTCCAACAAAAGACTAAACAAACAGTTCAGTTTACCACGAGCGCTGCCCTGGACACCCACAGCTAACCTTGTTTTATACTGATGGTATCAATGAGCTCTGTTTTATGATTTTACGCAAACTCAAATATGCTGGGCGTTAATAAAAAAAGACTGCAAAGTGATTGTACATCACATATTGTTTTTCTACACATGTAGTGTTTTCTGTCATTGCCAGGGCATGCACAGCCTCCGTTGCCCTTAGCTATTGTTCTTATTTCCACCTGCTCCACACTTCAAGTGTGAAACACTTGGAGCAGGACTCTGGCTACGTGCCAGCTGTCTTACCCCTCAAAGTTGCGGGTCAGTTCAGGATTATCATAAGAAAAATCTCACACCTGAAAAAAAAAGGTCAGTTTGCTTGAATTGATAAGAAGCCTCTAAAACCAAAGTTAAAATCTACTCATTAATAACTTTATTTAAAACTTTTGTCTTACCCTTTTTTAATTAAACTTACATCACATTAATTACAAGAAGCAAAACTGATTAATCATGATTTCAAAAGTTTCCAAATGAGGTAAAAACTGCAGCTTCTCTGCATTAGATGCAATAAATCATAAGAGAAAACAACAACCATCTTATCGATTTTCTGTTATTGTACACTCAGAGGTCTGCAAGTTGCACAGCCTTTTACCCTTTTATGATATTACACGGTGCAGCAAATAAATCATCACAAACCTTCCATCACTTTATTTTTGATACCAACTGGTAAGAGTAAAAATAACATTTTAAAATGAATTGCTTCAAAAGTTGTTTAGTGTTTTGGCAGCGGTGGAAGCTGGACTGTGACACCAGAACAATAGAGTTGTTTTTACACATGGTTAATCATCCTTCGATTGCACATTCCAGGTCTTGACATGGTTCAACTAGTTTATTAAACTCCTGACAGATACATGTTGTTATAAATTAGTTTGTATCTATTTTCTGCAGCTCAACACTTTTATATATCCACCACTTTGTAAGTGACAGTTGTATAAGAAACGTGTAGTTATGCCGGTGCACGCCATCTTCTGCAGCCTGTTATGAAGAATGATAGAAAACTGTTTTGTACTGGAATATTTAAGATGATTTAGATAAGCATCTTAAAGTATGAAGGTAGACATATTTGCAAAATTTGATGTTTTTGTTCTGACAATGCAAACATCGTTCTGACATATTTGTTTGCGGGGATGTGGCTATGCCGGCGGTTGGTGTGTATGTGCGTGGTGTGCATGTGTGCGTCTGTGTGTGCGTTTCAGAGCCACAGCTGAAAGGCATTGTGACGCGATTGTTCAGCCAGCAGGGCTTCTACCTGCAGATGCAGCCGGATGGAACCATCGACGGCAGCAAGGACGAAAACAGCGACAACAGTGAGTGGAGCATCACGAAAGCTGCTGCAGCTTCCAGTTTAAAACCTTTAACGGCTGTGAGTTAGTTGGTTATATAACGTTTTACCACAGTTTATACACCTAATCATCATTCTTATATAACGGATACCATGTAGGTCAACTTATCAGACTCCAAAAGGCAGTCTTAAGACAGATACTCTTTCTAGTGTGAATTTTCTCAACTAAAATGCACAACCATGGAGAAATTATTCAGCTATCCTCACAAGGCAGATGCCCTCATTCCTGCATTGTGGTTATGTAACTGCAGGGATGTAAATGTGTCAAATAGTTACCTGAATGATTTATGTTCTCTCTATGGTGGCCCTCAAGTTTAAACCACAACTACAAAAAAAAAAAAAAAAAAAAGCAATTAAATTTGAAAAACATAACATTTGAAAAACAGCACATTTGAAAGAGCAACATTAGATTTGAAGAAACATAATTACATTAAAAGAAACTGGAAGAGGTAGGAAAGGTGGGAGGTTCAAACGCCCCGTCGTCCAATCAGCGACGTCTCATGTTTCCCACTGGTCCCACCTCCCAGCTTTCCCACTTCTTCTGGTTTCACTTAATGTAATTAAGCCTTCCGGATGGAAGGTGAAACGTTTCAGCAAAAAAAGAAACTGTCCAGATGACCTGACTGAAAATTGTTGAATTGTATACCTGGATTATTGAGCATGGACTTTTTTGGTTAATGTAATTGAGTTTCTTCAAATGTAATTACATTTTTTTCAAAAGTGTTTTTTCAAACTTAATTGCATTTATTCTTAAAAATGTAATTGCATTTTTTCAAATGTTGTTGTGTTTTTTTTTTATTTGTAGTAGTGGCTTAAACTTCAGGCCCATTAAAGTTCTTAGTTTGTTATAACAATAGCTTTCACATTTTAATCATTATGGAACGTTTGGTAATTTATTTTGTATTTATTCAAATCATTGCAGGATTACAATTAGAAAGTTAAAACCTTGGAATTAGGGTTCTGTAGACAGGTCATAAACAGTTCATATATATTTTTCTTTTTCTTTCGCTTCAGTTAATTTTTTAAAATAACTTTGCGGTAGAGAAATATAGTTTAGTTCTGACCAGAGTGACAAGCTTATGGCTTATCAAAGCAATGCTGAGTGTCTTAAAACACATTTAATAATAAAACAAATAGATTTTTTTATGCAAACATGATTTTATGAACCTTTACATTGTCATAAATTTTGCACTGCACTCATAATCCAGCAGAAATATTACTTGTTTGCATCAGAAGTGCTACAGCTAGCGGCTGTTGATGCTTTATGTACTTGTAAATAACCACAAAATTATGTTTAAATAATCATATAATGCAAAATTAGCAATTAACTCATCATTCTGGTCAGAAATAAACAAACTTTTTCAAACTAAGGTCATTCAAAGCATAGGAGTGAGAATCTTTAGTCATCTTATGGTTTTATTAAATTTTGATCAAAAAGGTGTAGAGTGTAGGAATTTCTGTGTTCGTATTTGACATATGACGATCATGTTCTGACTCCAAAAGGTGCAACATATAACACCTTGCTGGTGTGTCTGTTGGAGAGTAGAAAGGCAACACTAAATTATGAGAAAGCAGCTGTTTTTAGTAGCAGTTTCACTGAAATCTGTTTGTTCTAAATTGACAAGCACACTGTGTGGTGGGATTTTGCACAATCAGTCTTTAAAAAAATAATGGCATATTTTTGTGTTCACTGCTTGGAAAAATGTATTGTAAGCCATTTACATTACTTTGTTGTCCACCTCCACCCACATCATACTGTGATGCAAATGTTGAGACTTATTTGCAAATGCAGTTCACCAGTTAGTCACCAACAATCCCAGTGAGACTTGAGAAGTGCCAGTGATGACTAGCAGTTTTTCTTCTTTTCTGGATGGTTACACATACTTCTTATATACAACTTGCATATAGTGTAGAAAGTTATACCTCCCTTACCTTCATAGAAGCTGAAGAGCAGGTACTTAATTTCTACACATCAACATTCAGCCTCAATTCAATTCAATTCAATTCAATTCAATTCAATTCAATTCAAAAATACTTTATTAATCCCAGAAGGAAAATAAGTGTCAAGCAGGATGCTATTAACATTAAACAAAAACACTTTTTGATATTTATAAATTTATTAAGTATTGTCAATGTCTGCATCGGGATCCATAAAAAAAAACAAACAAAAAAAAAAACAGATTATAACTCCCACCTTAATCAAAGAGCTATCTGCAACAGGTAAGATATTGATTGTTTATAACTTTTCCACTGAAAAACACTCCTTCAGAATATTTGACCTTTGCTTTAAGACCTCACAATTAAATGTGTTCTGTTGTACAGAATTGCAAAATTGTGTCACTATATGTCGACTGATAAATCTGCAAAGAGCATAAGAAGTACACAGAATACCTTTATTTATTTTCTCTGGCCATGAATTCCACACCCAGTGAAACATCTGGTTGAGAAATCTCCACCTTGCAAAATTGTCTTTATGCAGTCATTTGCCAATGAGTACCGTCTCCAGTCCACAAATCTAAAGAACACTGAGAACCCTTTACACGGAAACAAAGGCTTTTAAAGACTTTGCCATGGACATCTGAGTGGAGATACATGTCTGCACAGAATGATCATCAAAGAGATGATAATGCTCCCAGTCTGGATCAAAGCCAGTCAGGAAACCAATCATGATGTTTCTGTCCTAAAACATCCTGCCAATCGTTAACGAAGCAGCAGCCAAAGCTGCAGGATGGCAGTAGTCATGCAATGAAAAAAAAAACGACCTTTACCTGTCAAATGCCACTTTAAATTTTACGATGAGCTAGCTCTTCAGTTGAAATGACTTACAGCATAAAGGGAAGGTCTTCAGGACAAAAAAAGTTTGTAACATTTAAGGGAGGATAGGTTGTCGTAATGTTTCATCAGTGCTACTTAGCACATAAAAAAAAAAAAAGTAGCTCTTTGTGTTCTGAAGGTTAATGCTTGTGATACTTTTTGTTGTAGTGGAGGGTTTCCCCACCTTTGGGTAATCCTGCAGTTAAACAGTCCCACTGGCCCTGGGATGGAGGAAAGCAGTGAATTATTCAGCTGAAGCAAACTAAAAATACCTTCTTCTTCGTTTGTGCCCAATGAATAATTCTTTATAAAAGATGCCTTAAGCTTAGAGACAGTCCAATGAAATACACAGAGCGAGCGGTAGCGGCTGTGAGATACTGTAAGTCTTTTAAGCAGAAGACAGGGGCACAAAGAAAGTAAAAAAAAAAATGGAGTGATTAAGATGGCTACAAATGGAGGAGAAAGATTTAGTATGCGGGTCTTGCGCTGGACTATCGATTGCCAGGGTGGATTATTAGAATAATAGATTACCCCCACTCTTGAACCACGCCATCTTTTGACCTGCAGCGTCCTCAGCATCAGTTGCAGATGGAACACAGTAATTTATATTCAGGCGGTGGCTCTGGCCATACGACGTGCAACATGAGCTCAGGTTAAACACAATTCGGTTTTTGATTAGTTGCCATTTTTTTTGCAATGTATGAATGTGCTGAGAAAAGCATAAAAACAGTTTATTTTTGACAAACACAGCCTGCCCACTCCCACTCCCAGACACGGTGAGAGCTGTGGGGTGCTGGATTGATGATAATTCCTCCTGTCACACAGACTTGTACATTTAAATTGATGATCTGTTTTGAAAGAAGTTTGGGATTGAAAAGCTGCAATTGCCTGCATGATCCTTAGGAGTCTCCTTTTGCTTCAAGCAATTAAGTGATGATGGATATGGCTACTATTTTAAGGTTAGTAATACTACTTAGTACTGAAGTGGAGATTTACGGTTGAGATTCAAAGTACAGTAGTGTTTTTTAGTGACTTATTAGTTTCCATGTTCTACCACCTATCTGTGTCCGGGTTGCAGAGGCAACAGGTCCAGGAGAGAAACCCAGACACATCCCTCTCTCCAGCGACCCTTTTCAGCTCCTCCTGGGGGTTCTTGAGGCATTGCTAGGCCAGAGAAGATATCCCTCCAACAAGTTGTGTCTTCCCACTTGTATCCAGGATCTCGTTCTTTCAGTCATGATCCAAATCTCATGACCATAAGTGAAGGCTGGAATGTAAACTGACCAGCAAATCAAGAGATTTGCCCAATACTTAAACTTTTCCACCTGAGGAAAAGACTCCTCTCTAAGGGGTCATTCCACCCACGTCTGGTCAAGAACCATGGTCTCAGACTTAAAGGACATGACTTTTATTCCAGCCACATCACACTCACCTGTGAACCTCCCCAGTGCATGCTGAATGGTTTGGCCTCAAAACACTAGCAGAACAACATAATCCACATAAAACAGATGGGACCCTGGGGGCCTCAAACCAGAAACACCCATCTCCATGGCTGGGCCTCAATATCCTGAGTATGAACAGCCCAAACAGGATCAGAGACAACGGAGAGCCCTAGCAGAGTCCACCCTCACTGAGAACGAGATTGACTTTGTGCTAAGAATACAGGCATAGTTCTGGCTTTGGTTATACAGGGACTGGGTGGCCCTTAAAAGCAACCCAGGCATTCCATATTCTCACAGCACCCCTGCAGAGAATGCTTTGGGCAACATGGTCATAAGCCTTGTCCAGGTCCACAAAGAAACACATAGACTGGGGAGGTAAACTCCCTTAGCTACTCTTCAAAGGTGAAGATCTGGTCCATTATTCCACGAGTAGGACGGAAGTCACACTGCTGCTCCTGAATCCAAGGTTTGACAATCAGTCGAAGTTTCCCTTCTGACGCCCTGAAGTTAATGTTCCTGGGGAGGGTGAGAAGTGTGATTCTGTGACAGTTAGAACTTAATCTCCTGTCCCCACTTTTAAAAATGGGAACCACCGCCCTGGGCAGCTACTTCACAGTTCCCCACCCAAACTAAACACAGCCTGGGATACGTCTTGCTCTCCTTTACTGATTTGCTAAACAGTTTGCTGAACCTCACTGAGGCCACCCACAACCTTCTCTGTGACCTCCCAGAATTCATCCCAAGAGCAATATTTTGCATCAACAATCACTGAAGCTGAGGTCCTTCTGGCCAACCTGTACCAATTAGCTGCTTCAGGAGCCTTCTGGAACAGCCACGTCTCGAAGCCTTCCTTCTTCAGCTTGACGGCCTCCATCACCACTGGTGTCCACCAGCCGGTCCTTTTTCTGCCACCCTGACAGGCACAAAATAACATTCAGACCACATTTTCAATAGAGACCCTGAACATGACCCATTTGGATTTCATGTCCCTGACATCCCCAGGAACTTTCCTAGAAGTGTGAGTTCAAGGTTGCATAGACAGGGGACTCTACCAGATCTTCCTAGTTTACCCTCACTATGTGTTTGGGTTTGGATGAAATGTCACTTCACTGGCAGATAAGGAGATGTGGCTTATGTGTGAGGATGAGCGATATCAATAAAGTTGGGCTCACCTCTCCGCACAGCTTGGGCTCTGGAATCCAACTCCTGGAGAGAGGCTGGACCCTCTCGTAATCTTGAGTTGCCCAGGGAGAGAGGTGTCAGGTGGGTGTGGGGATACACACAAGGCCCTTGTTGAATGCCTTGTTGTTGGAGTTTTCCTCAGTGAACAAGAGAGTTGCCTCTAGGTGGCTTCAGGCTGCAGGAGAGAAAGTTCTGGCTGCTTGTGCTTATGCACCAAACAGCAGTTCAGATTACCCAGCCTTTCCAAAGTTGCTGGATGGTGTCCTGGAAGTGGTGCCATATGTGGATTCCCTTGTTTTATTGGATGACTTCAAGCCCTTACTCATTAGTTTTAGCCTTTTGATATGTTCCACTAAAAAACAATTTTAGTTTTATACTTTTCAAAACCAATATGCAACTAAAAATATATGTAGCTGTGCTTAAAACATGGTATAGCTTTAATCACAATAAATGTTGTAAATAATAGTACAGTTGTTCTTTCATACAACATTAATTTTGATTAAAAAAATACAAAATTGGCTCTATATCATAAAGTAAACTGTGGAAAGCATGACATATTTGCAAAGCTGTGCATGAGCTGACCATTATTCATGAAACATGATTGTTTTAATGAACAACGATGTTCAAATTGAAACAGTTATATACTTGATTCTTATCAGATGGTTGCAGGAGAAATGGTTTGCCCACTCTGAGGCTGTTGATAATGAGATGTCTGAGGCATTAAATATTCACTCGCCATTTGTATCTGTCTGGGTTTTAATTGATTGGATGATGACAACCTTTTTATTTAAAAGCTACAAGCTCATCTATATTTTATGTTCAGTCAATAAGGTTGTAAAACGTTTACCATTATCAGCAGTTTATGTTATCTATTATACTTGTATACTTTTTAAAGTTTAAATGTATTTTTTTTATGAAACAGTCAGTGCAGTAAAACAAAAATCAGTTATGCATTTTATTGACTTAAAACGGTTTATCAAAGCTGGTAAAACTATTGGAACTACATTTAAAATTCTAGCATTATATGTGATAGTATTTTATATTTTATTTAAAAATAGTAAAGATAAGCTCAGTGTAAAAACTTGTCGGAGAGAGAAGATGACATTAATATAGCGGTTTTTATTTATAAAACAATAGTTACTAAAATTGACTTACTAATATTTAATTTTAAGTGTTGAGAAATACTGGAATGATTTGGTATAATCTACAACCAAACAAAGTTTTTTTTCTTGTCTTGAGGAGAAAAAAATGTACAGAAGTAAAAATAGAAGAATACAATTTTCATAGACTTTACCTGAAAATATTTAGATTTGAGTTTTGTTTTAGATGCAAGGACCTGCGTAGTCACATTTTAAATCTGGCTGTGTCCTTTTAAACTTTTCCCACAGGTTTCTTGCTGTGCTGATAGTCATGAAATGCCTTCAGCCTAACAGCAGGATTTGTTTCAAGCAGTGTACTGCTCTACCAGAATACTTTCCATTTTCAAATTTTCCTCTATGGGTGTGTTCAAATCCATTTTGTTTGACACTTTAACAATAGAAGATCCATAGCCATCGCCTAGCTCTCCCTGCACCAATTAAACCTTTCTGTAATGTCAGTGAGGTTATTAAAGAAGTAAAGAAGAAGGATCACCTTCAGGATAGTCATCACATATTCTTAACATCAGTCAGTGCTGCTGTAATAATGAAATCCATCAACTCCTAACAATAATAAAAAAAAATACCCTGAACATTTAAACAGCCGCTGAATGATAACAGCTGTCCATTTAATATTTTAGAGCAAGAGCAAAAGACTGAAATCAGGTACACTAGTGGAATGACATATATTGTGTTGTTTTACTTAAAGTTTACAAGCATGACCCGAGAATTGTTCCTCTGACAGATGCTTCTAGTAATTAAAAGGGCTAATGGAAAGGGAAACGCAAGGGAGGGAAACGAAAACAGAAAAAAAAAAAAAAAAAAACGTGTGAACATGTAAGGAAATAACACTGAAGATGCTAAACTGTTTCTTCACAAGCTTCTGGGGTATACATATGACTACAGAAGTGGTCAGTTTGCATCAACCGCTTCATTAGCCTCAGGGCAAGTTTAAACCATTGGCAGGTAAAAGCACCACGTCAATATTTATTGAGTGAAACTGAATCTGCTCAGAGGACTGACCCATGCGGGCACATCTTTGCTTTGCGCTGCCAGTTTTATCCGATAGTTCTGGCACTTGCACAGCAATCATTCCTGCAATACAGGGAGTATACAGCAGGTAAAGAATGCCTCTATCCTTACTAAACCCATCTGTTAAACTCTCCCATCAAACTGAATGATGAATACAGGTCCACTGTAACAATCATTGTTTGGTTTTACATCACAGCTTTGCCTTCTGCAACTGGTTCTTTCCCATGAGTCATGTTCATCTTTTATTTAATCGTCGCGTGGCTCAATGCTCTAAACTAAGCGTTTGTGTGTGCGTTGCCCCTCAATACTAATTCACTCTTGATAGTATGGAAGCTGGAGCTTTCTGGAAGCTAGAAAGGCACATTCAGCAAAATGTAATCAAAACCACAGTCTCACAGTGGTACAAACCAAGATCAACTGACCTAACCTGATAAGGGTTTTTCAAGACAATATCGCAACCTCAAATTTGATTTTAGTTTAAAAATCAGTATTGATTTTGGCCACTTGACACCACGCTTTGAAGATTTAAAAGATACACACTGTAACATACAGTTTCTTTGGTGTAGTGATAATTTAATCCAGGATTGGTGGATCCAAAGTCAATATATGGAAATGTGTGTACAATTACTACAGGACTCTTTAAAATCTGCATCACCAAGGACAGTTTGTGTCACCTAGCTGGACTTTTTATGTTTGAGATGCATAAGATGGTTCATTATCTTTTATTTTTTTTGCCTCCCTGAAAGTTATCTGTCACATGTAAGTTTGGAATTTCTACTTTAGCTGTAATCCAACATTTTTCAGTCAGGTCATCTGGACAGTTTTTTTTTTGTTTTTTGTGCTGAAACGTTTCGCCTTCAGTCCGGAAGGCTTCATCAGTCAAGGAAACACACAACAAAACTGATTCTTCCTCCACCAGCTTACTCCAAAGTGGAACAAACCAGTTCTGCTTGTGATAAGATGGTCTCTTTGGTACGCCCCCTCCTCCATTGCCGACCCTCTTCCTTGTTGACAGTCTTGTCAAACTGGTTGAAAACAACAAAGTCCATGCTCAATAATCCAGGTATACAATCCAACATTTTTCAGTCAGGTCATCTGGACAGTTTATTTTGTTTTGTGCTGATGAAGCCTTCCGGACCGAAGGCGAAACGTTTCAGCACAAAAAAAGAGAAACTGTCCAGATGACCTGACTGAAAAATGTTGGATTGTATACCTGGATTATTGAGCATGGACTTTGTTGTTTAGCTGTAATGTTTCACTGAGAAGTGCATCAGTGTTCCCATTACCGCTGTCCTGTTCACTTTACCGCTGATGGATAGTCAAAGAACAGGGATCAGAAGGTTTAGTGTCTTCAGGAGTTAAGTAAAAACTCAATTGTCCTATTTTGTCCTTCCTACCTGAGGTCTCTCTTTTGTCTTTGCCTCTTTGTGACTCTGTCTCCTCTCTTTCCGCCTCTCCTTCAATCAGCCCTGTTTAATCTTATTCCCGTGGGTCTGAGAGTGGTGGCCATCCAGGGGGTGAAGAGTGGTTTCTACATCGCCATGAATGGCGAGGGCATGCTCTACAGCTCGGTAAGCACTCGTCGCTCTGATTGTTTAAGCTTGTATGTCACTGGCATGCATGATTAGTTCCCTACACAGGTTGTGTTTTGTTTTTGTTGTCTGTTTTATCATCCCTATACAGAAATGCTCAGCTCCGCCAAAGTCTTTCATCACTGCTCATTAAAAGGAACTGCTCAGATGTGGTTTTGTGTTGCTCTGCAGCACCTAGTCTCTCAGTGTCTTTTGAAGTAGCTTTGCCTGTTTCGCTTTTCATTTAATGTTGCATTTTGCGCTCAACCCTTAAAAGGTCCTTTTTTCTCTTTGCTTGTTATTAACAGAAGCTTGTTTGTCATAGATGAACAGAGCACATTTTACTGCATTTTCACATATATGATTAGTTCAACTTTGATTTCTGATTAGGCTTCCAATTAAAAGTATTCCTAAATCAAAAGCCTAGTGTTCCTTGAATGAATGCATATCACCCACTGCCCTTCTAAGATTTAATCTTGGATTTTTATTTTTTTTTTTTGACAAATACTGTGTTTTCACTTATGTTCTAACCTTAAAAACAAGGTTATGAGCAAAGTATGCATTATTATAAGATGTCACACTTAGAGTATATGTTATACATCACTCTCAGCTACTACCAAATCAACATTCTTGTCAATATATTTAAAGCAGACTGACTGCACTTTTTTTGTTATGCCAATGTTGGCCATCTTGAATTGGATAGACTCTCAAAGTTAATCAATTGCAAGGAACGTCCAATGATTATTTTCTATGTTTAAGTGAAATGTCTAATGTTTCACAAGATACATTATTAACAGACAAACATGGCTGACTTTAACAGTTATTGTCAAAGTTTTAAGTAAAGATGCTATGCAATGAGTAGCATTTATAGTGTGGGTTGTATCTAGTGATGTTCAGGTACGACCACAAGAAAAGTTAGCCCAATATAAATACAGTCAACTCAAGAAGAGTCAATTTAGTTGACTTGAAAAGTTAATCAGTTTTAGAGGTACATGCAATATTTTTTTCTTGAAAGTTTTAGTCACTTTTATAGAGTTGACTCCAAATATTTAATAGAATAGTGTTGAACAAAGATCTTGCTCGGTTTGTTAGTGCTCAGAATAGTTGTGGGGGATCAGTGTAAGTTATTACTACACTAAATTCTAGGTCATTATCTGACTGAGTTATAGCCACCTTTGTCTTTTTTCAGTTCAGTCATTTGCTGTGGCATACATACACACACATACACATGGACAATGACATTATCACCTGCCTTTCAGCAAATGATACATGAGCAGAAGTGGGAACTGCCCCAGTCAGAAAAACTGCTCTAATTGCTTTAACCGTTTGGGTGTTCTTCACACTCACAGGACAGATGCATTGTGAGAAACAAATGCAAACATGTAGATTACCCATATTGCATATTTTTAATTTTTAGCCTTATGGTATTTGGATTGAACATAGTATTAAAGAAGACAGAAGACAATTGCTATTTGCACTAGACATCTGCTGAGGGCCCACAGATCCATTTAAAAGTAACAAGAGAGTAGATACAAATGAACAAGTTGCTCGTAATCCATGATGCCTTTTTAAAACATTCATTGCTAAGTCTCACAAAGTGAGTGTAATTTATTCAGGGTGAGGAGTTTTGGCTTTGTGCAACTCAAGCACAACCTGACAGATGCATGAGCCGCTCACAAGTTCAGGGAAGGTCGTTCGGCAAAAGGCTGTGATGACTCACCCAAGTAGACAGATTCATTCATAACTGAAAGTGCATAAACAAGTGCACATCTCACAGCCTCGCTACAGGGCTTCAGTAAGCCACCGCCCAACCACCTGTCCAGGCCTAATTAAAGTTTAATCACGCCTAGACAGAGGTCTTTTATATATATCAAACTGACTCTAAGTTAAAGATGCTGCACAACCTCCAGTCTCCTATCCATAGCTTTGAGAAATCATCAGTCAGCTCTGAGTCCATGATTATTATTAATTAAAAGTACTTAAGCACCTTGGTGTCAAACATCACCTCTAAGCTAATCATTCTAGCTCAGAATTTTATAGGCGGAGGAGCAGCGTTTTGACCTTTACAGAGGATGAGGACATTTCAGCAGTAGGTGTTCAAGATGTTACTTAAGCCAATACGTAAACGCACTCTCCGGGTATGATTTGCAAATAAAGCTTGGAAAATTAGCTTTAGTAAGCAATGTGTGGGTGGTGGGTCTCGGGACCTATAAACCAGCACAGAGACAATAAAGTCTTTTAGGTTCCATCTCTAAGAAGACGTTGCAAAGAAGTGAGAAAATAAAAATAAAATAAAGTTTTCTATTTCTCTTATTGTAGTAACTGTTTCCCAAAGGAGGGAGATAAAGGTGAGGTGCGTCTCTGCTCCCAAATAGAATATGGACATTAAAAAGTGAAAGTATCAAGTTTGGAGAAGCTGAACGAGAAGAAAATGAGAAGCAATACTAACTCTGAATAAAAGAGACAGGGAAAAACTACAAAAAAACATGGATACATAAATACAGTAACAGAAATAATCCCCTTTAAAATGCTTTCAAGCTTGATATGTCTTACGTGTAAATAGCATAGACAAAATAAAATAAATCAGGGAAGATGTAGAAAAACTGACTCTGCCTTGGCTTTTTTTTTTTACTATTTAAACAGTTTTAAAAAAAATATTATATATATTACAAATAATAAATAGTTATTAGTTTGTTTGTCAGCATTCTGAGCCACTTTATTGTTTTTAAACCCTTCCCTATCTTGATATAGGTATCTGATGTGTAATGAAGCGTTAGGAAGGTTTCCAGTCTTTTTTATGCATGCATGGTTCAGGTTCAGTTTAGGGGCTTCAGTAAACAATTGCTAATATTCATTTAAAGGATTACATAAAGTAAATACTTGTGGGTGGATGTGGTTTTTTTAGGACATGGAGTGCATCACTCAGTGTTGAGGCTGGGGTTGATTGAAAGCTGAGGATGTGTTGGGTAGTAGTGTTTATGTGGAGTGTTTAGCGATGAAGTGTGTGGGGGCTGAGCATCTACAATAACGAGTCGTTCTCCATTATTTATAACACACAATATGACCTACTTTACTGCACAGCAGTAACCACTGTTCTGTCTTCGCCTCTGCTGCAAGCCCATCCATCCATCCGTCCGTCCATCCATCCATCCATCCATCCATCCGTCCATCCATCCATCCATCCATCCATCCATCCATCCATCCATCCATCCATCCATCCATCCATCCATCCAAC